GTGTGTGTGTGTGTGTGTGTGTGTGTGTGTGTGTGCATTCTTTGATCATGTTCCCTCCTCTTGCACACTCATTCAGTCAGCTGATTGAAACAGATCCTGGGTGTTTTTAGTCTCCATCATCTTGTCAAACTGCAGAAATTTAGAGTTCTTTCTAAAAAGTTGGAGCCTTTTGTGATTCTAATGAGCAGAAAACTGAACCATTACGTTTCGTTTCACGACTTTAGAGCCTTTTTTAACGGTTTTAGCTGTGCTGAAGCAGTTACCATGACGCCGGGTTTCCTCTGACAGATGTTGAGCAGCATCTGTCTGAAAGGGAGCAGGTCAATTTACTGTTCAGAGACGACTCCAGCTTTCCTCTCCTCGCCGCTGCTTTGACAGCTCCTCCAATTACAGAGGGTTGTGCTTGCAGAAGCTGTGGCTCGTTGTTCAGAGAGGCTGGCTCAGACAGGAAGACAAGATGCAACAACATGTCAGAACGCCTCACTCCAATCAAACCTTACAGATGACATAATTAGTGTTTGATTCCCAGCCTCAGGTAAAAACAGGAGAACTTTGTTGGATAGAAATCAGCAGTTCTGCTTCAACGGTTTATCATTTAGTTCAGGAGCAAAGGTTTGTTCAAATGTAAACATGAAATATTCTGTCTAATCGAGAAGCAGAACCAAGCTTTAGAGGCTTCTTTTCAGTTTATGATTGATCTTTTTTCATGTCAAACTAGTTGGTTTGTTGGAACTGAAAACTGGTTGCTGGTTGCACAGATACATGATGAAAGGCCCAGCAGTGGTTAAAGGAAAGCATACTGCGTGCTGCTTTTACTCACACAGTCTTAGACTAAGTCTTAGACCACATGCAACACAGCAGGTCATAATTCTCAGCTCTGATGTTTGTGTGTTTAATTAATATTCATGTTTTATGCTTTTATTTTGATAGTTTGATTTGTTAACCTTTGTTGAACCAGACTAGCTGATTGAAAATCATTAATCTCTTTTGTAAGGGAGACCTGAAGGCAGACTAACGTTATACTATGGGAGGAAACCAGAATACCTGGAGGAAACCCACACAAACACAAGAAGAACAAGTAAACTCTAAAACCAGGACCTTTTTACTGCTGTCATAAATTAGTCATGGTCCATATACAGTAAGTTGACAGAAACTCCCCCCAACAAACTTCCCTTTCAGCATGAAAGTCCAATCAAATTTCTATAAAATAAGATGCATTAAATACAAATATGTAAAATAAGTGAATGAATAAATATTCTCCCAGTTTTTATTGACAGATTTAATTCAATTCAAAGAAAAGATTGTTTAAAGTAAGGATGCAAAAGGATTTCTAAGATCACTTGAACAGTTGTATTTTCACAGAGGAATACCAGTCTAAGCGACTGTTGTTAAAACCAAGGGGTGCTGCTTCCATCAGTAATAATGTGTTTTATTCACAACTTGTGGTTTCCAGTACAGTACAGTACAGTACAGTACTTCCATCAGGATGATGTAAATACTGTCTAACTTTAACATTAAACCTTTGACAGTATTTTCTCTCTCTCTCTCTCTCTCTCTCTCTCTCTCTCTCTCTCTCTCTCTCTCTCTCTCTCTCTCT